TGTGTATTTATTTATTTATTTTTGAGAAAGGGTTTCTGTGTGTAGTTCCAACTGTTCTGAAACTCTCTCTGTAGACCAGGTTGGCTTCAAACTCAGAAATCTGCCTGCATCTGCTTCCTAAGTGCTGGGATTAAAGGCCGGTGACACCACGACCAGCTCATATACAGTCTAAATGAAATGCTCCCATTGAAGCACACCTTGGCAATAGCCAACAGCTCGCTAACTGAACTTGAGACCCACTCAATAAGAGACAAACCATGCCTGGTGCTGGAAACCCTGTCAACTGCCTAGAATTAGTGCATTCGTGGATCTGGGAGAACCTAAAACTGCCACTTTAATAACCATCATAATCCCTAAATACACTCTAAGTATTATCCTAATACCCACAGAAAAGTGTAGACCTCGCCCCTCATCAAGGGAACTTCTTTTGCAGCAGAAGGAGCCCATTACGGAAAATCACACCCAAACAAAATGCAGAACTACGAAACCCAGTCACAACTCATATATCTACAACACAACTCCTGCACCCAAGGCTCAAAGATCACTGTGGGAGATGGAGCAGGTAGGTAAGAGCCAGGGAACAGGAGGAAGTTTGCTATGATTTTGTTTCTCCTAGAGATGTCAGAGAAGCTTTAGCCACGAAGACTCAACACTGGCTGCCTAAACATGGCCTGAACAAGAAAGGAAGACACCAACAGACATGCTAATGTAGGAGGAAAGCTTAACTCTGGACAAAGAACTACAGGCAACTAAAGAAAACAGAGTGAGAAGAGTCTTGCCAATACCAAACAGTCCATCAGAACCATTCGTGTAAATAGCATGCAGACCAAGCAGGTTGTATTTACATATGTGGAATACACACATAACAACAACAACATCACAAAGAAAAAGAGGCCATTAATTTGAAAGAAAGCAAGGAGAGTGGGTGGCACGTGGGAGGGTTTGAAGGGAAGAAAGAAATGATGTAAATATAACATCAAAAGATTTAAAAAGCCTCTTTTAAAAAGTATAGTAGTTTGGGGATTCCCAGAGAATGCTTTGTGGGCTGCAGATCCATCTGTCTGTGGAGTGCACAAAGCCCCGGTACCACATCAATTGAGCACAGGATGCATGGCTGTCATCCCAGCACTTGAGAGATAGAGGCAAACATCAATTGAGCACGGGAGGCCTGACTGTCATCCCAGTGCTTGAGAGGTAGAGGCAATAGGGCCAGAAGTTCAGTTATCCTCAGCTACCGAAAATCTGAGGCTATGGGGATGCATGGCTGTCATAGGGCCAGAAGTTCAGTTATCCTCAGCTACCGAAAATCTGAGGCTATGTGAGATCCTGTCTCAAAAAAGAACAGCACTGGCTGTCCACTCTGTGGCATTTTCAAGTAGATTCTCAGTAGGCAGAGGGCACATTTCAACAGTCACAGGAAACTGAGGACACAACTATGTCCCACGGCTTAGCCAGATCTCATTTCCCAGAAGTCACTGCTGATGGGTCCTTGAAGGGAGTGTTGGGTGCTCTGTTGACACAGTGAACCACTGTAGTTCTTCAGACCTCTTCATGTGAAGCCCAGGCATCTCCCAGTTCATTTTTAGAAAAAAACAAAGTGATAGGCATAAAGGACACTCCCTTGAAACCTTTTGTAAGGTTCTGGGTGACTGGAGTTTTTTTTCCGGGTCACCTGTCATTATTTCCTTTATGGGACAAACACTTGGTAGGCCAATAAGACATCAGAGCACCTAGCATATCTGGGTCAGTGTCTCCTCTCATTTTCTAGTGTCCCAGGAAAAACTGAAAGTACCCATCTCATTAAGTGACAGAGGAGTAATTTCACTGGTAGTTGGCTCCATTTTCCCCTAGGTCTACCATTTTGTTACTTTAAGAAAATTGCAGCCTGCCTCCTGCTTGCTCAAACTCAGTGTGGCATCTAATCTATGGTAAGTCATTCGCTCAACCACGTCTATAGGGTGAAAGTAGTCTCTCACAGGCCTGTAATTTTCCTAGCAGTCTCCGTATCTTACATTTATCCCAGTTTCTCTCCAGGAACAAGCTTTCAGAAAATCTGTGTTTTTGAAGAAAAGGCCTGCAGACTGATTGGCTTAAATATATCACAAGGTAAAAGGTTATGCATTAAAAAAGATGAGAGGAACATTTTCCCTCTGATCCAGGGCATTGCAAATAGATTTTATTACCAGATCAGCTAGGAGCAGAGTGTGGGTGTGAGCAGAGGAACAGTAGGGATGGCAGAGTTGAGAGAACTAAGGGAGCAGAGTATAGCCTGGTACCTTGATGCGATGACTTTTCAAGTTCTGTGCATCACTGAAACTTTGGCTCTTTACCAGACACTTGGAAATGTAATGTAACCAGTGAAGTATGGGCAACATATTCTTGGAAAATGGCCCACCTCTATACTATAAACTAGGTCCATTTCAGCATCCATCAAACTTTCTGGTCCTTTTGGGAGGAGGCACTGCTAGGGAGAGTTGGAAGTCCAGGGACTGTTTGGCTCTGTGAACACTAGGACATCTTTCTCTTGGGCTCATCTCCATTTTGTCCTGCTTCGGTATCTCATAAATGTTCTTGAAACAGGCAAGTACTTTGCTATGCCAATAATGTGTCTGCTTACCCCAAGATTTGAGAAAAGGACTTCCCAGCATTTGATACCTGGCAAACACTTGTGAGTCAACTTGCCTGGGAGAAAAGATGGATGCCCATGTAGGTGGTAAAACACTGCCTCTGGGTTTGTCTCTGAGGGTGCTTCCAGAGGAATGGCCTTGGGTCAGAGGACAAAGGAAGACCCACTTTCACTTAGGGTGGGAGGGCATTGTCCCATCCATGGAGGGTAAACTATAACAATACAGGAAAGGCAACATTTCCTCTCTTCTGGAAGTAGGACCCCATTTCCTGACTATACATTCTAGCCCCAGGTTCTCAAGCCCTTGGCCTCTGGCAGTTATATCATGGTTCCTTCACTGCTCAGGCCTTAGACTGAGCTGTGTTGCCATCTTCTTTCGTTCTCCAGTTTACAGATGGTGGACTGCAAAAGTCTTGGTCTCCCTAATTGCAATTGCTGTAACAAACTCCCTCTCACGTCTCTCTACCTGAGTCATACTAGTTCCTTCCCCAGAAGACTCTCAACAATACAGGACTTGAGTAAATAACAAGTAGGTGAAGGCAGTACATAATTTTCGTTTTCTTGCCACTGGCACTATTGTTTTTAAGTAATACATAATATATTACTGACTCAGGGCAGAATAAAACCCATTAAGACCCGGCCTAATAGGCATTAACAACAAGGGGCGTGTTTGCTAGAATGTATGTGGCTTGAGGGAACTGTTCAAAACAGGTTTTTGGTACTCACTTCCTTTTCTTCTGTGGTTTCAAATACACAAATTAACTAACTGCAAACAACATAGTTTAGTTCACTTTACAAGTAACAAAGACTATCTTACAAGAAGGTCAAATAGTGCTGAATATGACTGACATTTTGATGTAGCATAAATTGTGGACCTTCTGGTGTTAAAAAAGTAATAAACTCTTAGATTTTGATAAGAAGTGTTTTAAATGGTCTTAAAATTTTAAATTACACTCGTTATTTGAGTGTGTGTGCAAGCTACAGTGTGCATGTTGAGGTCAGAACAACCTATGGGAGTCAGTTCTTCCACCACGTGGGTCCTGTGGATTGAATGCAGGTCCATCAGGCTTGGAGGCAAGTACCTTTACCTGCTGAGCCATCTCACTGTTTCGGTGTTTTCATCTATTCTGATGACAGGAAATACAATTCTTCCAGAAACTCATTTTTAAGATGCCCAGTAAATAATAACATAATTGTGATTTTTAAATTCAATGTGAAAAATTATCTCCCTAAAGGAAACAAAAATTGTCAGTTCAAACAGCGACCCCTCGAGACAGTCACCTGAACCAAAATATTCACTTGTTGTTTGGATTTTCAAAATATGGACGTCTCCAGAAGTTTCTTTCTGTACTTTATGGAGTACTTATCTGTGGAGAATCCTTAGCTCAAGGGAACTGCAGCTGGGACTCGAGCTGGGATTACTGTACCAGTCACTGCTGGAAGAGCTCTATCAACTGAGAAGCACTGGAGCAAGGAACAGCAATTGCTTGTCAGGTTGCAAGAAAAAGGACAGAAAAAGCCCAGGGGCTTTGAAGCGCCTGCCAGCTGCCTAAGTACAAAGGCTTACCGTGAGAGGTCGAGGCAAAGTTTCCAAAAAGGCTGTTTCTTTTGATGTCATTTTTCAAACAGAGAAATGGCTTCTTTTACATTTTTACTACTTGTAACACTTTATTTATTTTTTTTACTTTGTACAAAATACAAAAATGCCAATCCAAAGAGTACAGACCAGTAGTGACAGGCACGTGGCTTGACAGCAAATCGTGTCTAGCAAGACATTAGTTTTCAAACTTTATTTTAGTGAATACATGCACTATATAAAACAACAATAGCAACAACAACAAAAACAACACACGAAGAGGCTACAGCTTTAGCTAGTTCCACCCCTTGCTACCTTCAAGCCTTTGGGTGGAAGTGAGGGAAAAAGAATTAAAAAGGCAAATGACATTTTTCCATAAAACAACTATAAAATGTCTTCTTTTTTTTTTTTTTCTTCTCTCCTGTCACACTGATTAAACTTCTCCTGGAAAGTCACACATATAAACAAAAATGAAACAAAAATCCTGAACTGGATAGACAGCAAGTACTCAAGGGGGTTGTTAATCTAGGTAACTGATCAGTAGTTTAAAGAAATCTTTTAGACATCTGGAAGCCCTCCTGTTCACTCTTCACTTGCAGCATCCCAGCCATCCTGCCCATTCTTCTGACACAGCCCTGACCAGAAACACTTGCATCACCGAACTGTTGCTATGAACCAGTTTCAAAATGGAAAGCAGTGTACAAAAATATTTAACAGAACTATGAAAGATGTGGGGAAGGGAGTTGTTCTTCACACCAAAGTCGTCTTGGCTTTGCATGGGTTTCTTCCATCTACTCTTCAGGGCTTATTGATCTGCCCCTGGAACAAGATAGCACCTAGAGGATGAAAGAGAGACACTGTTGGACTCCTTTACGTGAATTCATGGTGCAGGATGGAAGGTGCTGTATGCTGGGGAGGGAAACCTCTTGCTTATCTGTGCCCTCTCTAGAACTTTCTCCAAGGGCAGACAAAGTCTCCACCTTCACTGTGCAAGATGGAATCCACTACTCAGATGTGGTGGCTGCACAGAGGATAGTGTGACTAAGAAATGGAAATTTTAATTATCATTTTAATGAAAGTTAAGTAGACACAAGTAGTGAGAAGCTCCAGTGTTGGACTGACCAGCTCTGATACACAAAACAAAGAGATAAAAGAATAAGGAACTACACCTTCTGATTAGCAAATAATAAAACCTATTAGCACCCACAGTGTATGGATATGAAACCAACCTTTGAATAAAGGCAGGTGTACACTTCATAAATAAAAAGAGGGGGACTGTTACTATCTTTATGTTACTTTTTAGGAGCTCTATTACTTTCATTCATATGTATGTGTGTGCCTGTATGAGATGATGTGCACCACATGTATACAGGTGCCTACATAGGCCAGAGGGCATCAGATCACCTGGACCTGAAGTGTCTGTCAATTCTAGGGTTTATATATTATCCTTCTGAGGTCTTTGATGGAGTTGAAGACAGATAGTTATGGTTTTCCTTAGTTACTATAAAAGATAAGTTACATACAAAACTACACTCACAAAGATATATGATATTTTCTTTAAAATTTGCCAAATGTAAATGGACCAACTATAGTTCTTGCTTGATAACTATTTTGTTATATATAATTTTACTATGTTAAATTTAAAATTTTCATTTTACTTAGACAGAAAAGAGGAGATGACAGGGATGTCCTTTTGTATATGTGTTTCTCTTACTGGGTGATGAATAAAACACTGATAGACCAATAGCCAGGAAGGAAGTAGAGGTGGAGCTATGAGATGAGGAGAATTCTATGGAGAGGACGCAGAGAGGAGCTGCTGGAGAGACGCTATATAGCCACTGAAAGAGTAACATGGTGGAACATTCTCCGGTAAGGTAAGACTACGTGGAAATACTTAGATTAATAAAAATGGGTTAATAATTAAGAGATAGCTAATAAGAAGCCTGAGCCATCAGCCAAACAGTTTATAATTAATATAAGTCTCTGTGTGTTTATTTGGGGCTAAATGGCTGTGGGACCAGGCAGAATAGAAACTCCGTCTACAACAAGCAGTTGTAAACTGTCTGATGTGGGCATTAGGAACAGAACCCAACTCCTCTGCAAGAACATCAAGCACTCTAACTGCTGAGCCATCTCTCTGGCCCTACTATCTTTTTTGTCCAGTTACTTATCTTTTTAAAAAACATTTTTTTAATTAAGAAAAAAATTCATACAATATATTTTGATCAGTTCTTTTTTAAAAGCTGAACTTAGTGGGTTGGTGAGATGGCTAAGTAGGTAAAGGGTTTGCCATGTAAATATGAGGATGTGAATTCAATCCCCAGGACCCAGAGACAAAAGCCAAATATGGTGGTACATACTAATAGCTTATAATTTCACAGAGACGGGGAGGGTCGCTGGGGCTGGCTGGACAGCCAACCTAGCCTAATCTTCAAGCCTCAAGTCCTTATCTTAAACAAACAAACAAAACAGGATAGATGGCACCTAAGGAATGGCAACCAACTTTGACCTCCGGCTTTCATACATGCATATATGTGCACATGCATCCATACAGCCACCCACATACCCTACGCGTGCGCGCGCACATCCCCACACCCCCACACACACACCCCACACATATGCACACACATATTACATACCCCTCCATACAAATAAACACATACATCACCCCCTACACACACCCTGACACACACCCTGACCACACACATCCCACACACACACCCCACACATATGCACACACATATTACATACCCCTCCATACAAATAAACACATACATCACCCCCTACACACACCCTGACACACACCCTGACACACACACACACACACACACACCACACATATGTATACACATATTACATACCCCTCCATACAAATAAACACATACATCACCCCCTACACACACCCTGACACACACACACACACACACACACACACACACGCTAAAGGTCAGAGTCCAGTTTAAGGAATGAGCTGTGGTGCTAAGATCTACAGGTTGGACATTTCCCAGGGCATTATATTTGAGTGGGTTCACAAAATGTGGAGACAGAGTGTGTTGCAAAAATTTAAGGTATTTTTGAATCTATGAAGGGTAAGATGAACCTTTTTAAAAACCACCACCTTCTTCCAAACCTACAATCTGGGCAATATTTAAAAGATCCCATCAAACTCTGTAACACAGACTTGGTTTTTTTTTTTTTTTTTTTTTTTTTCCTCTTTAAAGTAGGTTGTTAATGGTATCTGCAGTGTCACCTACAGCTGTAGGGCCCACACTGATGGGTACAACTGTAGCTGGAGAGCACCTGTCTGAGGATGGAAAGCCAGGGATGAAACAGAAAAACCACTCACCTGTGGGATTATGTCGGATGAAAAACATGAAAGGCCTGTCTACTATAAACCAGGGAGGTGATGACCTTGCAATTAGGATTGCAGCTATGGAAAGAAGAAGATGTGTTAGCCAATCAGCAGCAGACCAGCAACCCACTCCCAGATGCTGGTATCTGAGGAAACATTTGCTTTGTCTTATAAGTTGGCATGCTCTAATGGCTTCAACAGTCACTATCTATGGAACACTGGGCTGGGCTTTTCACAGTTACTGTCTCCTTTATTCTGTGAAAGCCCCATCTCCACAATAGATGTACTTAGTCCTCATAGACTTAAGAGGACTGGATGACATAAAACACACTATAGCTCTCAGGACAGAGACCATGCCAAATGGACATCCAATGCATATTTGCGGTTATTATAAAGCTATTTTTATTCATCCCATCTGCCATGCTGGACCTCTTTAACACCCTTTCTGCAGATAAAGACCAGCTCAGAATGCTTAACTGTTGGTTCTGTGCCTTCTCCTTTGGTATATCATTTTGGTGCCCTTTGTGATAGCACTGTGAACTGCTCATCTATCTGCATCTGTTTTGTTGTGCCACAGCCTACTCATTAGTGCAGACACCTGCTTTACAAAGCACGCTTTATTATTCTTGTCATTCTGGGGATAAACCCAGGACAGCGGGATTGCTGAGCAAGTCATCTGCCAATGAACTACACTCTAGCCTGAAAGAAAGCTTCTTCAGACATATAGATATTGGATCGGTCTACTCTGCTGACCAATGGCTGGCCCCATTTAACAAGACCATGAAGGCTAGCAGAAGGGAGAAGGCTGGCTACAATGGCTCAGTATTTTCCTCAAACTTCTGAACGACATGAATGACTCAGGCTTGCTCTTAGAAAGTAAATACTCAAAAGTTAGGCTGGGAAAATTACTTCACTCAGAATTACAAATAGACATCAGGCAGTACAGACTGAATTGTGTCTCCCTAAAATTACTATGTTGAGGAATTAAGCTCCTGATATGATTACACTTGGAGACAGCCTCTTCACTGAGGCTATATACAGGACACAGAAGGACCTAGAGGTGAAACTCTGACCAAGCAGGACTGATGTCCTTATTAAGATGGGGAGAGGCACCAGGGATGTGACAAGACCATATGAGCACATAAGCCAAGGAGAAAGACCTCAAAATAAGCCAAGCCTGATGCCACTCTGATCCCCAACTTCTTGCCTCAAGAATAGTGGGAAAATAAATATCTGTTAAGTTCTCCAGTCTCTGGCATTGTTATGGGAGTCTGAGCTAGTTGAGCAGTGACAGGGTGGTGAGTGGAGCCTTGGACTTGGTTTAGTACACTCGGCTGTAGTGGTCTTGAAATTCCTAGTAAAATTTAGAACAATGAGGCTATATTCCTATTTGCATTAGGCTCCTCTACAAGTCACATAGCTGGTCCTGACTGGAATATTAGTTAGTAAACCTGACAAATTAAGATGTAGCAATCACCTAGAAAAGACAAAGGGTATTTTAAAAATATCAAATCTAGTATTCTAGGTCTTTATGTTTAGTGTTATTTTAAAGTTAACAGAAAAAACTCGAGCATTTGTTTGGGAGGTGATAAGGTGCTGATTCTGTAGAATAAATAATAACTTTGTTTCATGAGTAGAAATAGTCAACCATCCAGAAGCATGTGCAGTGAAGCTATTCTGTGAGCTTACAGGTCATAGCTCAGTCTCCTCACTCCATCGCATATGGTGACTGATGGCAGTGATCACGTAGGGGGCAAATGTAGGTTTTCTTTCCTTATAAGCTGCCAAGAGGCCATAGACAGATGTTCTAATGATCAAGGAAGGATGCACAGAATTCCTGGTGCAGTCCTGTAAATGATACTGATTTTTCATGTCATCCTGATGAGCTATGCTCTCATACTTGCTATTATGTTACCATCTAAAGGTGGGCCTTTCCTACCTCCTCCTCCTCCTCATCATGAAATATTTCATCTACCCATACTCACTGCTGTCCCCCAAAGCTCAGTCCTCCCCAGTTCTCAGCTGGAAACAAGTCTCCCTAAAAGTCTGCTAAGCTGATGAGTGAACTGGGTTGTGTCTGCCCTCCTACTGGAAGTGGCCTTGCAACCTGACCCAGCACTTACTTGTTGCTGCTGAAGCTTTGGTTCCATCTTCACTGACTTCAATTTTTGCTTTTTGCAAGATATGAGAGACATGAAGGCTTTCTGACCCTGTTCCCAGAAACACAAAATCAGCACTTGCTCAATGAGCATGCCATCTCCAGTGTCAAAAATAACCGCAAAGCCACGGCAACTTCCAATTTAAAAAAATAAAAGGGTCCAAAGTAACCTCTGACCATCACACAGATTGAGGGCATTAGGTGGCTGTCACTTGCAGTGGATTTCAATTTCTGCTAAATGATTTGTAATTGTTACTTCTGGGAGGGATCCCTAGGCCCCAAATGTTATTAGCACCTCTAATCATTTCAACTCAGATCACTATTAATTCTAAGAATGAAAAGAATAGAGATTTGTAAAGATGCCATTTTTCCAGATGAAGAAAGACAATGGTATTGTCCAATTACAAACTGTCCAGCCCAGAAACTGAGGCTCACAGGTTAAGAAATCTGTCCCTAGTTACTTGGTTAGTTAGGCGCAGGTAAGTGCTGGCTTTCCTAGCCCCAGTCACTCATCCACCAGCATAGTCATATGAGAAGGAACTCCTGGGAAGGGCCAGGCACAGAACTGCAGCTGTGTCTTCTCACCAGAGCCCAAGTGACAAATAATTCTGAGTGGGCAGCACTGTCTAGGAGGACACCAATTCCAGTCAGCATGAGCTGATGGACATGGGTCTGGATGAGGAGAGCAAAAGGATTTTTTTTTGGATCACCTGGTTTTGCACTGTCTGCACAAACACCCAGCTCGAATATGACTAATTGTGACTAGGAGCATGTTTATGTGGCTCAGGTCACCTACAAGGTGAAACAGAACAGCATAAGGAGATTCAGGAGCCCTGGTCCCTCCTGTTTAGTATTCAGATTCTAACAGGTGATTCTGAACAAGAAGTGCTTCTCAAATGTTATTAGGTCAAGGGATCCCATTAAAATAAAGGTTGTGACTCAGGAGGTCTGGATCAGACCCAAGAGATGCATTTCTAACACCGTCACAAGTGATGTTAATGTTCTGGGCTGGGGACCAGGAATGAAAAGGGAATGGGAAGATCAATGGAACTACAGTTCCAGCGAAGGTCACATGCGCGTGCGCGCGTGCGTGCGTGCGTGCCTGCGTGCGAGCGTGCGTGCGTGCGTGCGTGTGTGTGTGTGTGTGTGTGT